CCACAACAGTGTTTAGTTTGTGCCAGGGCTTGCCAGGGCTGAGTCCTGGCACCTCTGGGCTTGGCAATTCATAGCTCCGGCACCTTTGGACTTGGCAGTTCATAATCCGAGCACCTCTGGGCTTGCTGCCTCAGTTAGGAAAGCAAAAAAAATTGCTTGAGCCCTGACACTTCTTTCATTACAAATTAAGCCCTGGTCCTCAGTCTGTCTACAAGATATCCAGTTTCACTGGAAAATCAGTCCAGAAAGACACTGAGAACTGAAAGTATGGCCATGACTGCCAAGCACAAAGGATTGTTCTTAACCTCCTAGGAGACCCAGTCAAACTTTTGCTGAAGTGCTCTTTCCCGTGGGAATATATGCAAAACGCACCTTTTACCAGTTCGTTGTCACTGCAACCTTCCCTTATGCTCTATCTGGTGACACCATTTCCTCCATTTGGTGTTCAATTAGATCCCTACACGTTCCCAACATGTTGTATCTCAGGGATGCTTCTTCCTAATCAGGACTTTAATCTGCACAGAGTATCTCAAGTCTCACACACTTTCCCTGGTATATAATATGTCCTCATATACCATCCTTTCCCCAGTGCATTTTTCTGAATTTGAATCACTAATTCTCAATCCCAAGGATCCTGTCTGCTACCACAGTCTGATTCTGTTGTGTCTTAGTAAATTAATGGGCACCCTGTGAAAGATTTAACAGGGGAATATCTTCCAGCACTACTAATAATTCAAACTTGGCTTTATAATAATTAATTTTCCTTTTGGCGTCCAAAGGACAGCTAACTGTTCTTAGCAAACAATTTATCTGTCAAATAGAGCTCTTTACTCTGAATGTGAATTGTCTGAACAGAGAATGATTTTCACAAATTTGTTTGAAATTGTCCCATGACGTTATTGGTGCACATATTTCAGCCTATTTATTGCTCATAAACTGTTTGCTGAGTATTTGAAATTCATGATTTTTAAGCTAAGCTGTTTGGTTGGGCATATGGTTCATATGGCATTTTCAGTTCCTCAGCTGAGAGCATGGAACAAAATCAGGTTTCTGGTGCAAATACTCATGATTATGAAGTCTATGCTCACCTCCACACATACCCTGCAATATTAGTTTAAAAAGCAAATATTCCTGTCTGGAAACTGAATCACTAAACATCTTGTGAAAATCAGATGCAAAAAAACAAAATCTGAATCTAAGCAAATTAGTTTAAAAATTCAAATGATTGTTCCTGAATGGCATCTTGTGATGTGCATCCCCTTCTGATCCTGAAATCTTTCCACACATGTGACTTCAGCAATACTCCCCAACCCACTTTGGAGATATGTTTCCACATATTGGATTTGGTGGTTGCAGGAAACATTATGGGGTGACCTCACAACTACCCTTCCCATTATATCATTCACTTTGTCAGCCCTGCCAATGACCCGGTGGCATTCTGATACCTTAGGGTTCCCATACTCACTGTGATATTAAGGGACCCAACTAATAGACTGCAGAGAAGAAAGACAAGGGGGAAAGCTGCAACCTCAAAGCCCTACCTCATTGTCTTTGGTTGTAGCAACCCCTTCTTCAACCCCAAGAAGCTGGTCATCTCCTGTCCAGTCTGCTTTGCCCTTGTTGCCGTATCATTCAAAAGAGGTGACAAGGAACTTCAAGAAAGCTATTGCGAAACTTTGGCCAGAGTGGGACACTAAACAACTGCTGAGCTGCTGGGGTGGGAGAGGCGAGAGTCCATATTAGTTAACAAGCACTTGCATTCCCATTCCTCCTTCCCCACTGCTCTTCTTCAGCCCTTCAGCCTAGAAAGATTTCCCAACACACACAAGCGGTGTCTACACTTAGAGCTGAGATTTGATTTGCAGCTGAAGGAAACATACCTGTGGTAGCTCTGATCAAGCTACCATGCTAAAAATAGAATGCAACATGGCAGTACAAGTGACAGGAGGGGCTAGCTGCTCCTAGTATCTCAGAAGGGGTGAGTGCAGGGCTGCCAGCCTGTCCCACCACCCGCCCTGCTGTGACTACACTGCTATGTTTAATACTCTAGTTCAACAGGAACTAGTACAGGTATGTCTACCCAAGCTAGAAATTACCCCTCAGTCTGAAGTGTAGACATACCCCTGCTCTCCCCCCATCAGCAGCCATGTTGCTTTTAGTCAGTGTTCTTCACTGGTCCAGCCAGGGAAAAGACCTTCTAGTAAATCTCACCATCGTTAACAGACTACAAGAGCTGGCTCTCCTCAGAACAATGGCACAAGGAGAGCTGAAGAGGATTCAGCTCACATAACCCTGAGCACAGTGCCTGTTTCACTCTACTGCCTTACTGGGGACTAGCTCGGAGAGAATAATGAAAGTTCCAGATACTGGTAGGCAGGAAAAACCCCAAACCAAAGTACTCTGATGTATAATTTCTCAACCACTGCTGCTATCAGGCTTCCCTGCAGAGAGAGTGAGAACTCACCCAAGGAGTACCAAACAATGGCACTTTTACCAGCCCAAATAAAATCTGTTTACACTCAGGTATAACGCAAGATATCCAGGGAAATCTAAAACATATAAAGTGTTGTAATAGATGACAAATTAAGAGACGCTACTTGTTTAGTAGCTTTAATTCAGCTCTTTCAGTTGGATTCAAGCGTCTGTATTCCGAAGATGCACACACAGTAAAACACCAGCACATATGAAGAGAATGGTCATTGTGACACCCTGGCACTCCAATATTCACCACTGTCATGTAATTAGGATATGTTTTGTACAAAGTATGTCTTGTAAGGTGTCATTCTTGATATGTTAGACATTAATATCTTGTTGGATTGTATGTGCTATCATCATATGTGAAGTTATGAAGTTTGGCTATGTATGTGCTACTGAAACATGTTGTGAGGTTGAAAACACCCACAAGCAGCCTTTCAGGTACAACAGTAAAAAGGCCAAACAATGTTAATGGCTTATTGAGGAAATGCACACAGGTACAAGGATTACCCCAGGAACTGTGTACAATAAAAACCTCTCAGAGATAGCCCTGCACCATGGGAACTGTTTGACCTAGGTCACAGCAAAAAAGCTTACCAGACAGTGGGAAGAAGATATAAAAGGGGGGAAATGACATCATGATGGGACGTCACTCTCCCTACAACACCACACATCTGGAAACACCTGAGGAACAAAGACTGAACTGTGGGAAGTGATGGTCCCAGGATAAAGGGATTTCTAGACTGGGGATTTCTAGACCTGGGAAACCCAAGCTGCAAAGCCAAGGCAGCTTGTGCCTTAAGAATCTGCCAGCCTTTAATCACTCAGGGTGAGAATTTGTTAATTCATATCCTACTCAACTCGTTTGTTAAGCTCAGTTTGCAATTTTGTTTATAGGTAATCTGCTTTGATCTATTTGCTATTACTTATAATCACTTAAAATATTTCCTTTTGAAGTTAATAAATTTATGTTTTAATCCCAATCAGTGTGCGTTTGACTAAGGTGCCTGGGGAAAATCTCATCTTGGTTACCACAAGTATGCATGGTCCTCTTCACATTGAGGGAGAGGCGGACCGGGGTTAAACCAATATACTGGCCAGATTTGACCAGGGCAGGAGGGTACTGCTCTGGGATCCTCGGCTGGGAAGCTGGTGCTTAGAGAGCCTGCGTGTAACTGCAGCTGGGTGTGTCCCTACCTGTGTGAATGCTGGTGAAAGTGCAAGCTTGGAGGGCTTTCCAACTTGTCACAGCAGCACAGTGTGAGGGGAAGCCCAGGCTAGTGGGTCAGGGGAGCTCAGGGGTACTCCAGTTCCAGGTGGCACCCTGAGGGGGAACCCGTCACAGTCATAATCTGAATTTATTTCCTAAAGGCTAAATCCTGCTATACTTGCTCAGGTAGGACACCCATTGACATCAGTGAACAAACCTTCTGGAAGAGACGTTATTTATCTCACACCCAGCAATTAACTTCTTCATCTGCTTTTGCCTCCCTTTTTTATTGATTTGCTTTTATGGCCACAGCTTTGTTTTGTTACTATACATCAGGCATCAGATGCTTTTCCCACCGTACGCACTCAGACTCACACTACTTTAGGAGGAAGCTGTAACCTGTGAAAATCTTAGCATCTCAAAGCTATTCCTGAGCGTCCTGGACTTGGAGGAGATTTGAAGGGACCTAGGATGAGCTGGTCATTAGTCATTGCGTCCTATTTATCCCAAGTCTTTCAGTCACAATCTCTCTACCACTTTAATCGTCTTTTTTTCACCATTCCTTCCCTCCAACGTCTCTCTTCTGCAATAGGAACACTTTGACTAGATTTTTCACCCTCAAATTCAGCTCCCTTCCACACTGAAACGTGCTGCACACAGTAGAGTACAAATTAACTTGTGAGCAGTGACTTGTACAGAAATAGATGGACAAATAGCACACTTCCTGATACATCTCACTAAAACGAGAACGTGCGGGTAAGAGTAGCGCTGACGAAGTCTCATGCTTTTATATCTTGGTGATTCATCTTTTGACCAATTTTTCCTCATTCTTCTACATCTTCCCATAACTCCTCTAAAGGAGCCATGGTCCAGATCTCTCCCTTTTTTCCCCATCTATTCCAATCTCTTTTTGCCCCACCCCACTACCCAGTTGCGACTCTTGCACATGTCTTTTTTGTGTTTTAAAATAGAGAGTCAGATGGCTGAGGAAGCATAGCCCAGTGTTTAAGGTGCTAGATTGGGCACCCCATATCATCTTCTTGCACCATCACAGACTTCCTGCATGACCATGGGCAAGGCATTTAGTCTCTCCGTGCCTCAGTTTCCCATCTGTAAATGGGGATAACAGCACTTCCGTACCTCACTGGGATGCTGTGAGGATAAATACATTAAAGACAGTGAGATACTATAGCAATGGAGGCAATATATGTAACTTAGAGAGATACCTCAAATAAATGTCTCTGAATAATCTTTAGCTTCTTTGATGACATTTGCACTATTTTATATGAACTTTCTTCAAATATTCTAGTAGAAATGTTTGCCAAAGAAGTTTATTTTAAAGAAATATGGCAGAATATTCACTGACTGTGAACTTCACATTTCTAACCACAAGTGTGCACACCCGAAACTTCATGTTAAGAGTTACATTCATCCAATCAGGAAAGATAAACCTACTGTGTCATCTTCACCTTCAATTAAAGTTGACTATTGAACATTGACTACTCTCATCTAACTGCTTGTGAATAGGATACAGATCAGAAATTATTAGGGAGAGAATTCCAAGTAACAAATGGGAGAAAACAATGGTCTGTGTTTTGACAAGTCACAAAAAATGAAATTTGTCCGTATTTCTTATGAATTATTTACTCAGCTCTATTTAAAATGATTATTTCCTTCATTCAATAAATTGAGTCCAAAGTGTGCTTCTAATTTACCCAGGTTCACATCCAGTGCAGTTACTGTATCTCAAGGACTTCCACTTTCAATTTGCTTAGTTCACAAGTAAAAAGATGGGTTTTGTTCCAGGGCTGTCAGCCCTGCAGAGTCAGGCTGTAGTCTTCATCTCGTGAATCATCACCAGCAATAAAAATTCTGCTGGCCAAATTAATTGTTTTCAATGGGGTTGAACAGTCTAACTGTGGACAGTATTTTGCCCTGCAGTTGGAGTTTAATTAACAATTTTATTAAAGATCCATAAGCCAGAGACAATCCAGCTCACTCCCCCATAGCTATTTTGTCTCTGCTGGGCTAACACTAGGTAGTAAAATGTTATTTTAGTCAGTAAAGATGGCAGATATGATGCTGAATAATCACAGCGAGCAGCGCTGTTCAGTCACAAGGTGCTATAGTCACTTTTCAGTGTAGAAGTAAACCTTCGTAGTTTTTCAAAACTATGAGTCCGGCTGATGGACTGTACAATTTCCCCACATAACTCTTTCAACAGACTTGTATTCTGACTGCTCACACTCATCTGCTTTTCCAGTCAGGCACCTCCTAAACAGAGAATTTTGACTAGCTGCAGATTGGTTAGGAGATATAGTCACAGTCATTCCATTCATAATGTTTTTCCCTCTCACATTTATTTCTCATTTCTCCTAAGAAATAAAAAGCAAGATCTCCAGAAGTGAAAGTCTGGTGCATGAAGCGATTATACCACCGTTAGTGCCCAAGTACCTAGACAAGTTTTCATTCTTTGCTATTATTCGTTCCTCCTATATGCCTAATTTTACAAGAAATAAGACTGAGATATAGTAGTGACAAGTTAATTACAGTTGTGACATCTTGTGGTAGGTCTATTGTACATGTCTGTAACAGTAAGATATGGTACCATCACCATATCTAAAATAAGCACTGGTGAAGAAGAGCGCTCTCCTCCATAACCTCTGCCTTCAGCTTCTTTTATAAAACATTTTAGCTTTCAGTGTCTTGAGTGATGACATTGTCTATTGCTCTGGGAATGGGATGGAATCCAAGGAGGTTATGACCTAATGTTTTAGTCTGAAGGGATAAAACGAAAAGATGGGTTATTATACAGGCAAGCTCTCGCTGTGCATGCAGTTATCTGATGACTATATTTAGGGAAATGAGACTAAAAAAGGAGGGACATGCAAGGATCTGACATTTGGCCTGAGATGCATTTGTATTTGGAAGCTGTAAGATTATTTAAAATAGCATAAAAACCATGGGCAAATAATATCGAAAAAAGTCATGTAAGGCTGTCTTTAATGTTAACCTGACCTCATGTGATGAAGGCACATGTTTATTTCCATTGGCTGAGCCCAGGAGTAGGGCAACAGGTGTGTGAAAATTTGGTAAAAATTTATTTTGATTAAAAAGAGAGAGAGAGAGAGAGAGAGAGAGACTGCAATCTCAGCACCAGAATGCACTAGCAGATGTGCATCCACCAACAGTTTTGGATGAACTATAGACTGCGATTTTACATAATAGCCAGAACTAATTGTACATATTGATGCATTACTATCCTTAGTATATTAGAGAGACAAGGTGGGTGAGGTCATATCTTTTATTGGACCAACTTCTGTTGGTGAGAGAGACGAGCTTTTGAGTTTACACAGAGCTCTTCTTTAGAAAGCTTGTCTCATTTGTATTGCTGCTGGTTAGGCTGGGCATGATCCCTCCACGTCCCTTTCTCCAAGGAAGAGTTTTTATTACACTGCATGGCACATAAAGCTTTTAAGAGGATAAATTAATGAGCAGAGGCAGATGAGAGAAGAGCCTGGGCAGGCCTGGGGATTAATCTCTTGGTCCTGTACCTATGGGAGAGGGAGCATGGAGGCTACTCCAGCCATGTGAGGCAGCTCCCCAACTGTTCTACATCCTAAAGCAGTGGGAGGATTTCTCTTTCCCAGCACCCTCTGCCCAGCACCCAGCCTGGCTACTTGAGCGGGGTTTAAGATTTGTTCTTTAATTTCCAATACACTTTATGCACCCTAAAACTGTTATGAAAGATGGATGTACATGTGATTAGAGGCCTTTCCAACAATCTTCTGTCCCCGCCCCATCTGTATAGAGGGAGTTCAACATTGTTGTATAGTGCCTGCTTTTGCCAACTTCAACTTGTAAATCAAGCTCTTGTCTATATTTTACCACCCAGGCAATTTATAAAACCAGAGAGCGAGAAAAAATTTCAGTTCTTGAAGGAGTATCAAATTGACTTGCAAAGTGAAAAAAATTAAGGCTGTTTTCATTTTAAAAGAAAATAGCACAGGGAACAGAGTTCTCTTCCAAAGAAACCCTTCCCATTACATAGATCATTCCTAAAATAATTTGTGTTCATAACTGGCATAAAGTTAGCTTAACAGTTTTTGTTCCATTGGATACTAACCTCTGAGCGCCAAGTTCTGTTTGCCATATACATAATTCCTGTTGAAATTGATAAAACAGAATCTAAAGGAAGAATTTGTCCATGCATGCTTAATACATTAATTTGGGCAGGGGTTATTTATTCCTTGACTGGCACCCAAAAGAAACTCCCACCTGAAGTCACACAAGGAAACTATAATACAAATATATATATACACAAATCAAAGACCTAAATGACTGGTTAACATAGTGTGCGTGTGTGTGTGGGGGAAACAATACCTGGTTCTTACTGTATATAATCAAGTTTCAGGCAACTGAGTTATAATCCTTTAAATAATGGGCTTCAAGACAGGACAGAACCTTATGTACAGCTCACCCAAATTCTAACACATGCTCTTAATCAGTTTTCAGTGTTTGCCTTCTGTGTAAAATCACTTAAAAACATGGGTTACAGTTGTTTCATAGCTTTACTCTCTCAGTAATGTGCAACATGAACATAATAGTGTTATTAAGAAGTCAAAAATAACTTAACACAGGAGCTATATAAGATTTTCAGACGGCCAAACTTCCAACAATTTACCTTTTGTTAAGTTCAGAAAATTAGCACATTTGTTAATCAAATTAATTTAAAAAGTAGCTTTTCAAAATAAAAGCAATGCTTTAAATAAATATAGTCTTTTATAACCATAGAACACTGAGTTCTGTTAAAGGTAACACAAATACTACACTTAAGCACAATACTGAAAAGACTGAAATGAACACCATGAGAATACATGAGCAGGACCCTATTAAGGATGACAGGATAAGGATTCATTTGTTGTCCTGCATCTCTTCTGTGTACATTAAATGACAGTACAGTAACATAATGGAATTAATTCTCAAAACTACCATAAGGATTTGTTGTGGCATGACATTTATAATTGCTGCACAAGAATGCTGGTACCCTGTTTTTTCAAGCCATTTCTCTATGCTACATCTTCAGCAATTCTGCAGTCTTACTTCAAATCTCTAGCAGGGCATACTTCTTAAAACTGACACACTGTGGCCAAATCCTGCTTACTTTACTCACCGGACTTAAGTAGGATCACTGGTATGAGTAAGGCAAGAAGAAATTAACCCATTCTCTAAATGTCATACAAAGCTCACAGTTTGTGAAGTCTATAACCTTCCTTCAAATATTGGCATTCATTAATATTTCAGAATTACTGAAGATCACTGTCATGTTATTTTATCATTGATGAATGCTCACAATTCTCACTTCATAACTAGAGGGCAGAAGCTGTGTTTATTATTACACAAGTTAAATGCATTTCTGCAAAGATCGCAGCCATTCTGCTGAGCTAAAATGTTGCACTGACCTTCTTGAATGAAAGAAGTTCGCTATTTCTTACATTACTATGTATTATCTGAATGTATTTCAGACGCATGTATTTCAAAGACTAGCTAAAATTCTATGAAATGTCCATCTGAAATCCAATCAGGAACTATCTAGAAATTCTGTTTAATATTTCATTTACTTATTTTTCATTGATCATTAAAAATGATGTTGAGGATTTGTAGCAATCCATTAATTTCACCCTTACAACAAATGGTTATTTGTTAGTGAAATCTGTTTTGTTTAATTTAAACAGAATATATTAAAAGTTGTAAATTAAATGACAAAGGCAGGAAAGTCAAACGAAGCACAAAATTGATACAATAAGTATTCTATTTGTTTTGATCTTCAGAATTAACATGTCTGTTCAAAGATGACAAAAGAATAAATTAGTAAATGGATAAAGCAACTCTTAAACGGGCTTTTCTAGGATTCCACACACACGCTTTCTCTCTCATTCACACTCCCCACCCACTCCTTGGATTTATTAGAAATTTCACTACTAAAGAGTTTAACTTAGATAAATTAACTGCATTAAAATACTGACATTGTGAGGAATTTAATACTTCCAACACCCTACAAGAAGGCATTCCTGTGTGAAATTTTAAATGCTTTAAAAAAATAGTTTAAAGTTATTGAAATATATGACAAATATGACAGCTCTGCCTTCTCTCACAGCCTGCCGTTCTCATCCCCAGTATCCTTCTCCTCTATTGCCTCAAGGCATCGTTTAGATTTTGCATCCATGTTTCCACTTCCAGTTTTGCTCAGTCCACATGACAAGCAGGCCAGTTGGATCTGCTTCATATTCTCTATGGCTTCATTCTTGGCATTCTTCAACAGATCTCCTTGTCCCTAAGAGTATATAGAAATACACAAAGAAAAAAAGGCATGAATAATATAGATCATTAAGAACTTAAAGTGGAGCTGCTGTTCTCATGTCCTCCTTAAAATTACTTTTTATGATGGAACAAGGTTCAAATTCATCCATCTCTGTTTCAATTCCACAGTGGGGCCTACTATTAATTTCAGCACAGACAGAAGGGACTGAAATCATCTGGCAGCTTTTTAAATGCACCGTACCTTTAGCCAACCTAAAAGGCAGCAGAAGCAGTCATAGCAGTGAGTTTGGTGGGCTGGGCCTGCAGATACAATGTCTTATAAACGATTAATTTGAGAGACGGGGGGGGGGGGGAGTGAGGTAATATCTACATTCTGTTGGTGAAAGAGACAAGCTTTTGAGCTTACACAGAGTTCTTTCTTCAGGTCTGGCAACAGAGAATGGTCCAATAAAAGATATTACCTCAGTGACCTTGTCTCCCTAATATCATAGGTCCAACATGGCTACAACACCGCATACAACAATGAAAAATATTTATTGTCAGTAGAGGGATTTTATAGTCATTAATGCCTTTTTCTAGCTAGTTCATTGTTCTGTGGACTATGTTCCAAACTGGCTGAAGTGGCAGCATATTAAGGCGAAGCCTTTGGGAATGCAGAACCCAAGGGCCCCATCAAACCACAGCAACAGTTTGTTAAGCTGATCTCAAGGCAGCAGCATCAGTGGAAAGACTCTTCTCCATATTAAGGAAAAAATAAACTTGATTTAATAATAACAGGCTAGGAGTTCTCTCAAATAGATGAGAAGTCAATACATTATAGTAGGCCTGCCTGTTTATACCCAGGCCAGTGACAATCCTAACTGAATCAATAGAAGATTGTTCTCTTCAGATACGTCAGCTGGAATAGTGATTCTACAAAACCACCACCACACTGCTACTGCCAGTGGCTCCATTATGCCACTCTTTGAAACATTAGATCTTAAATGAAAATATTTAATCATCCCAAATCATATAGATGGGGTAAATTGGGGGGAATTTTAGTACTAACGAAAGCCTTCTCACATAGCCCTGTTAACACTCCTTAGTCATGGCTGGCTATCCAGTCCTAAGCTTCTCGTTGACAGAGATGTGTTTATGAGATGTGCAAACATTTCTATGCACCATGCTGAATCCATTCAACCCATTTCATCTGTGACCTTCCAGCAGACTAACATGAACCTAGGATTTGATGCACAAAAAGTTTCTTTTATACCATGTCAAAACACTTCAAAGGTAAAGTCCCCTAAGTTATCTCAATCCAGTTTTTAAACATCAGAAAAAATGCCGATCTTCAAATATAATAAATTGTGCGTCTCATTCTTTGTCAGAGACACAATGATGAACAATTAACATTTTTGAAGATTTCAAATAAAAATAAATGTACTTATGTTATCTACACTACAACATAGAGAGGACACTGAGAAATGAGAGTTAGAGAAGTTACCAAAATATAAAATGAGTTTACTCTTTGGTCTATACAAGATCATCTGACCATGTCAACTGTGATTTTAAATAAAAATGTGACACATTATTAAAAAACAACAATCATGCTACCAGACTGACACCTTTTGACTGCTTAGCAGACTTACAATTGTCTCCCTGTGAATATTAAAAATAAAAGTCATCTACCAGCAAGAACACCTGTGTGTCTATATTTTTTTAGTCATTGTTTGCTTGCTACAAATGCAGAGTGTGGATACCCATAAAATTTGGAAAATATTTATCCCCCTCTGAAAGTTTATAAATACATAATTACAACTAGATAGCTGTTTTTAATTTGAGAACAAGGAGAATTATGATACCAAAAAAGTGCACTTAACACAGTCAGAGTTACCCACTGTAGGACACACACACACTTACAATATCCTTGGTGCCTTCCAACAGTTTTGTCCAAAAGGGCGTGGGGGTGTTATATGGAAGTTCCATTAATATGCTAATGTTTAAAAGTTCTAAAATGAATATTGATAGTTTAAATTGTGTGAAGTGACAAGCATGAGAGATTGGTGTTACAAAATAAATAAATAAAAGCAGGAGATTCTGCTAGATATTAAAATGAAGGGTTGTCAAGAGCTTGAGTTGATGTTCTTAATGTCAACATCAAACCAAGTACTGCTTTAGGTACATCATTGCATACAGCTGTTTATATTTGCATTCAAAATGAAAAGATTTCCACTTGCTTTTCTTGTAAATCCATATTACTAGTTACAATTTTCTAAAACGATTAAACAGAAGTTATGCCAGATTGCAAGAAGAAGTTCCTTTAAAATATAAGGAAAAACTGAAATCTGTAGGATAACATTTATGAACATGTCCTAGATTGGGGCATAACGGTACTTCAAGCTTCCAGTTTTCTAAAGCATCACCCACATAAAGGGCCATATCATTTTCCACTATAATTCTGGCATCTCTCAAGACACAGAGATGCTATTCTGCAGGTCCTCCACAGATAGAACTATGGATGATTTCTCTGGGATGGGGGCTAAAGATTGTAGTCCTATGGGTGAAATTGGGGTCACACTGAAGTTAATGAGAATTTTTGGCCATTGACTTCAATGGGATCAGGATTTCACCTCATGAGTTTCAGTGTGCATGCAATTTGAACCATATCCAATCATATACAGCCTTTCCGATGCAGATTATTACGGTTAGGAGTAATTAGCATGGAGATCTGTATGGGTCACATGGGAACCAGAATACATTGTTGCTGCTTTTCCTGCATTGCTGTGTGCCCATGAAAAGCTAGTTATGACATTTTGTATGTGGAGCCAAGAATTTAGTCATAATACATTAGTTACTGGACAGGAGGAACAAGAATTGGGTGACATGTTTAAAAGCTGAGCGGAGTCACCAGAGAATCCTGCACAGTAAAAAGGAAGCTCCCTGAACACTGTTCAGGTACATGTATAAATGAGCCCTAAACAATGTACTTTTTCAGCTTCAGAACTTGTCCATTAGCATGCACGTAACACAGAATCTCAGGGCAGGAGATATTCTAATGAAGATTTAGGGACAGATTTTTAAAGACTGTTAGATACCTAAATATGCAGATAGGTGCCTACTGGGATTTTCAAAAGCTCCCAACTCCCCTTGAAATCAATAGGATTTAGATTTCTAGGCACCTTTGAAAATCTCACTAGCTATCTGCACCCTTACGTGCTTAAATACTTTTTAAAGATCTGGCCCTTACTGACAATAACACCATCTCTACATCTAGGCAATCTAATCTAGTATCTTGTATGCCATACATGTTGTGTGAGTTCTTATAGAACAAATCATATGTAATGGGCTGGAACCCAGGGTCAGAACCCTGTATATCTTCAAAGGGTGAAGATCCCAGAACCCCTTGTGGTATTCTAAAGGCACCAGATAGATATGGGTAAGTAAAAGGCTGTCACGAGAGTGATACATCATAATAATGGGAAGCACTACACAGCTAACATTGCTCTGCTTCTCCCATTCTCCAGCACTAAAACAGGCAGGATTTAACCCACATAACTTTGCACACTGTATTGTTTTGACCCTAGTAAACAAAAGCAAGAAACAATGGTAGCTGGCAGGGTTCAGCACTGGTAAACAATGTTTGTGAAACAATGGCAGCTGGAGATGTCATCTTAGGCCAGTGCACCAGAGCCTGATTGCTTCATTTCCTGATGACGTGGACTTGTCCTGCTGTACAATGTAAGTTACTAAATAGATGCTAAGAATCAGATTTAATAAGAGTAGCTGTGTGCTATTCCTTACGAAGCACTGAACTATAAAGAGAGAAAGCTCAATCTGACAGTTATGGGAATAGGCAGATAGATATACTTAGAAGACTGGAATTTGATGAGCAGCAAAGGTTTAAAGAAGTCAGTAAATAAAATCTGCAGCACATACATTTCAGAGAAGTGTGATTATGCTTTTAGGATGAAGGTTGATCTTGTGGTTAAAGGCACTAGGATTGGGATTCAAGAGATCAGGATTAAGTCCATGACACTGCCCCAGACATTCTGCATGACTTGGGGGCAAGTCACTTCATCTGTTTGTGCCTTATTACCCCACCTGCGAAATGGAGTGCTGTGCGGCTAAAGTCATTGTTATTTACAGAGCACTAAGTTACTACAGTGACTGGACCCTTTCCGGGCAAGTACCTAGAGAGATGGACTAGTGGCATCATCTGAGACATAGGTACCAAGAAATCATTACATTAATAATTATACCAAGGTTGATGTCATGAATGTAATTTGAAATAGTTTGTTTTGAATGGGATGAAACATCTAGGCTCTACAATCTGCCATGTCCCTACAATACAGCCCCATCTAATGCTGATACTTGGCATTATCAGGAATCTTTTGTTACAGATTCAGCCATAATGGTGTCAGGCTGCCTGATATCACTGCTATGTACTAAGGGCTTGTCTATACTTACCGCGCTGGTTCGGCGGCAGGCAATCGAACTTCTGGGTTCGATTTATCGCGTCTTGTCTGGACGCGATAAATCGAACTCAGAAGTGCTCCCCGGCGACTCCGGTAATCCTGCTCGCCGCAAGGAGTACGCGGAGTCGACGGGGGAGCCTGCCTGCCGGGTGTGGACCGCGGTAAGTTCGAAGTAAGGTACGTCGACTTCAGCTACGTTATTCACATAGCTGAAGTTGCGTACCTTACTTCGATTTGGGGGTTTAGTGTAGACCAAACCTAAGACTACAATTCCTGATGTAACAGTTTTAAATATGTATTAGTGTTTCACCCTTACCATTTTTTACAATGTTTGTATTTGACTAGTACAATTTGCCAATAAGAAAGACCTCAAGGCAGTGCCTTGAAGGTTATGATTTGATTTGTATCTAATATAATTGTGCGTATGTGTATATAAAAAAAGCTATAAAACTTTAGTCCAAAATTAATTTAGTGATTTGATTTTTACCACCTTTAGGCTACATTTTTACACAACACATGATTTGAAAAAAGGCGGGGATCCCAAGCTGCTAACTGTTTA